TATTTATAGATATTTTAAACAATTATAAATATAATATTAAATATTTGTACGGTAACTATTAACCAAACAAAGTATTTAATCTGTGTAACATTTAGATTCTTGAATTATTTAATTTTATTATTATAAATCATTTATATTTTGAATTAAAATTAACCAAGTTTTTTGTAAAACTTTGTAGTTTTTTAAAAATTAATATATTTAATGTATTCACGATTAAAAGAGTATATACATTAATTTAAAATAATATTAAACCCTTTATTGTAAATATTGGTAAAAAAATATATACCTGTTTTTCAACTTATTATTTTACCTATTCGATACATTATTCTATTGAAAATAAATAAAATAAAATAAACTGTAAGAACATAATTGCTTATTTTGATATTTTTTTTTGAAAAATTTGTTGAAAAATAGTCACAATTATCATGAAAGAAAATAATGTGACATATATATATTGTTCACAAAGATACACTATTAACTGAACTCTGCTCAGAATTGTTAGTAATAGTTAATTGTTGCGTACAGATATACATTAAATTTCCAATTTATCTTACAAACTTCTCGCTTACAACAGTTAAACATGCGAATTATATCCGTCTCTTTTAGATTAGTTATTAAGAGTTATTTACTAAGAAGGACGTAGTATTAAAATAATATGATTAATTATGCAAATTAAAAATATTTAATATGTGACTAAAGAGGAAAAACCAGAAACCTATTAGAGACCATTGAATTAAGAGAAAAAATAAATAAATAAAAAATTTTAGCTTAACCACATTATTAAAACAATTACAAAGCAATTGTGACGTGAGAAAAAAATAATGTTTACAATATGTTTAAGGCCGCCATCGGCAATTTTCGTTTACTTCGCCTTATAATTAAAAACCGTGGAAGAAAAAATACTCATTAAAAAAGTTTAAGGCAGGTCCATTCTTAAAGGAAAACTTTTTTTTTTTTAAATCCATGCTCTCCTAATTGGAACGGCCTCGTTATACACTCAAGGCTAAGTTCTTTTATTATTATTATTTTTTTGTAAAATTAACAACGAATGGGGTTTTTCGTCGTTCTATTTTTTCTTCTGTTCATTAAATAATTTTTCTTTATTTCATCTTTTATAAGGCGAAAATATATAAAGTAAAACGAGTTATGATTTATTAAATATTAGGAAGGAAGTTACAAAGTAAAAAAAAAAAATGTTTTCAGCACAATTTTCTGGATTTTAAAATATTATAATTATTATTATTTCCCATTTATTCTTTTTGTAGACCTTTATAAAATAATAGACTTATTTTATCTAAGGAATCTTAAAATCTTCGTTAAAAAAGATTTGCAGCTATAGTATTATTATACAAGCATAAAAACACAAACAATTAAATAAAACAAAAAAAACAACAACAATCAGACGTCTTAAATATTCGAGGTATACAAAAATAAATCGATTCTTTGGAAATAATATCATTACATGATTGCCTTTTCCAAAAGGTTCTGCAGTAACAATATCTGTCGTTCAAAGTGTATTAAAAAGAAGAAACAACCCATTTCGGAACCAGGCTTTAACTTGACGGAGTTGTTATTCCTTTTTGTAAGTAAATTATACTTGAGACCACTCTGAAAAAGTGGATAAATAGAAAATAGGTAGTAAATTATTAGAGGAACGATCGAGTAGGATTGTTGAAATGAAAAATACGTATAAGGTGTGTAGAAAATGTATTTAATAAAAAAAAGTAAGTATTGAAGCAGAGGACTAGTAGCTCTAAAAATTTACCAAATACGTAATAAATACTCAATATATGTATTTAAATTTAAAATAAAAAAAAAAGCTGATACTGGGGATAGGAACGGCCACTGTTGAAGGTGAGAAGTCGAAAAGGTAGGATACATAAGGTATTTTATTTATATCTGTAAGCAACGATAAACCATTGCTTGACGAAAGATGATTCTGAGCGCAGTTCGATAATACATAATTTTTGAGATTTCCGTTTAAATTTGATTTCAAAACTTTTGTTAAAAAAAGGAAAAAATTCGTCTGATGATTTTGGAAATTTTACCACGTCTAGGTAAGTCCAATATAAGTATTATTAGTAAGGTTTAAGTCTCTGCGTGTATTTATAACCGAATTACAACAAAAACTCCCAAAAATTAAAATTCCTTAAAAGCTCAAAGGTGGCTCAAAAGTTTTGGCGATGGTACCGTTAGAAATTAAATCAAAAAGGTAACAAAAAATTGTTGTGATTTTTCGGTTAAATCATCTTTCCTGGTAGAAAACCTCGACCGTATTTTTATAAAATAATGAAACCGTGAAATTGTTCGTTTCCCTACGTTATTCCCACGTACGTGCTTTTAATTACAAATTGGCATCGAAAATCTAAAAATAACCTGTTTAAAGGACCATCTAAAAAACTTAAGATTTTAGAAGTTGCTACACGTAAAAATCGGAACAAGTTTACTAAGAGAAAACGTATCCACAAACTAATAGCGATTTTGTGGTAAAACAGGTACACAGAGATCTGTAGAGTTGTTCAAAGCTAAAGAACATCTTCCACTCACAACAACACGGTCAAATTAATTCATATTTAAAATTAACCCTAACTTTTAATCGCTTAAATCCGCATAAAAAAAAACTATAATTCTCAAATTTAAGTCAATTTGGTCCATTGGGTGCCGAAATATTTATATTAATTAATAATATTTTATATTGAAATTTATATACTGAGAAATGTTTGTATATTCATTATTATTATTTATTAATTAACCATTTTAATAATTTTGTATTTACTTTATTATTTTTTTATTTATTATTATTTGTTTACCATTTTCATTTTTAATTCTATATTATTAAAAAAGTGGTTTTATCTTTGCGTAGGGTGAGAAAGGAAAAATGTATTTTACTCAACTTATACATGTATAATTTGAATAAACTAATTACTATCAGACGGTAAATTTATGTTGATTGCGTGTTTTGTGTTATCATATTGTGTAGATATATACTAATAAATAAGCATACATAAATGTTAGATAGTTGAAATTAATTGTTTCGGTATGGTGATTTTAAAATTAATTTATTGTATATTATTATCGACTGAAATACTCGCAGTGCTCACTACGTTGAGCTAGTTTGTTAATTTGCATTATATTATTAAATAACGGGAAAAAATAAACTTTTATTCCCGAAAAACAAAATGAACTTTGAACAAAAACTTTTATCTCTCTTTTGGTCACTGTAGTATAATTTATAATAAAATTTAAATCATATCCACGGATAATATTAATCAAAAATTTCATATTTCATAATATAATTATAATTAAGAAGCCGTCACATGAACGTCTCCACAATTTTTCCTTTTGCGAAAAATCTTTTCACTCAGTCTATCGGGTCTAATAAGAAACTTAAAAAAAGAGAGCGCTCGCATTATGCGACGATATTTTCTGTTATTTTTCGATGTGAACAAACACAAAAAAAAAATTATCGTTTTAACATCTAAAAATGTATTTTTCAAACTCAAACTCAACTTTGCACATATTTAATTTTTTTTTTTTATTTTGTGGAAAATTTTACCGGCATGAAAACATTTTTTGAAGAAAAAAATATTATGTTAACGCAATACAAACGTCTTATTATTATTTCATAGCCGGACTACATGTAAATTTATTTAAAAGTGAATTCGAATATTTTCGGTGGGTCAATTTTAATTTGTTTTTAAACAATTTCATTAAAATTACTTATGAAATAATATTTCCTCTTAAAAAGTGACAATTTGTATTACAATTAAATTTAGTCACGTATTAAAAAACATTCACGTAATAAAATACAATTATAAAAATGATGAAAATTAACATTTATAAAACTTTTTTAATCGTGTATTATTATTATTATCTCCAACAATATAAAGAAATAAATTATTAAAAACGCGAGACAAAATATTTTACGAAATAAGTTATTATATAATGTAACACGAATAATTACGACGGCGACGATGAAGTGAATATAAAGTGCTCTCGCGGTCGTGATGCAGTGTCCGAGAGTTTTATTATTACACGAACCATAAAAATTTAATTCATTTAAAATTTGCGGATACTGCGCTGGTATATATTATATTATACGGAATAATTTACGATCTTAAAAAACAATGCCTGTATATTACAACAATATAATATAATATATAGGTACCTAACGCGAGCAATTCAAGTCTTAAAAGAAATAGTACTTTAAATTGTTAAGTTTTAAGTGAAACAAAAATGTGTTCGTGTTTTTTGTAAAATAACTAGGAATAGTGGGGATCGTAATGCCCCGTTAACCTCTTACCCACTCCAAAAAAAAAAAAAAAAAAATGTATTGCTTTTATGGTGAAAATATTCAAAATAATGCACCTATAAAATGTATCAAAATAACAAAAAATGGAAAATACAATGTCTTATTCTTAATCGAAAAGATATAAAAAGAAAATACGAGCATCGTAAACAAGCTTTAGAAAACAATGCATAGTGTATTAAAATCCCAGTACTAAAAATAACCGGACATTGGTTCAAACACTTTATTACGTGTAATCGAAACTATATTATTTTTGTCATCAAAATATGTTTGACTTAGCACAGAATCGTCTTACGTTATCAACGATTAATCGTTACGTACAGATTGAAATTAAATTATACCTAATGATACGATATATATCTTACATATCTTATCTTCCCATCTTCTCACCTATGTTTGCATCGGTAGCACGCTATCAGTGCGATTATATCCGACTATTATTTTTTTTATTTATTTATTTAGATAAAACAAAATTATTCAATTTCTTGTTTTTTGATACATTTATTATTTTTTATCCGGATCTAGATATCAATTTTAATTACATAATACTTAGAGTTTTCTAGATTAAAAAAAAAAAACTTGTTTGCACAACGTTTAACACTTTTCCGGTTTCAATACGGCACTGTTTATTGCAGTTAAAAAAAAAAAATAAATAAATAAATGTATAGTAAAGAAAAGGATATTTTACAACTTTTCTGTCATATTATACATCGTGAGCAGGATACTCGTATACGAGATATTACACAATTCCCAATCGAAAGCATATGTTACATAAAACTTTTTAATCAATTTTACTATTCTGGAAATTGTTTTCCAAAAACAAACTATATGGACCATCACAATTTATCTAAGAACACCAAAAGCTATCTAGTTTCATGTGAATACAATTAAATGCATATAGATATAATGAGTATTAAATTTCAAAAATATTATATTATGACCACGATATATATCAAAAATACGAAACACCCGTAAGAGGCAAAGTTCCGATAAAAAAAGGCGAATAATGCACCGGTCGTATAAATGTCATTATTTAATTTGTATAGAGGTATTAAAATTCAGAATTTCATATTTAAACCATATTTAAAACATACGATTAGAATATAAAAACGGCGGATATCGAAGTTGACAGTTGAAACCGCCAAAAGGCAGTTCCTTGCCCACAATGACGCAATACATAATCAAAATTGTATTTCCCAAGCTTGGTGACGTGTACCGAGAAACAGAAGATGAGACAACCTTTTTTCAACACCAAGATTACCAATAAAATAATAACAACTATTCAATTATTGCATCAAAAATACTGAAACCCTGTATGAATCATTATTTAATGGCTCAATTTGACAAATTCAGTGTTAACTTGCACATGGACCAATTCGTCCTACTCTGTATTTATATGTTTCTGATCTCTAGGTGGAATAGATTCGGTTATGGATCGAGCATAGGCAGACAAACAAATGCACACATTTGTAAGTCACGAAGTAGTGACAAAAATATATAGATATTATTACTGATATATTGAAAAAAATTTTTAAGAGAAAACGCATGAGAAGTGGGCGAAAAGGGGTCTATTTTTTATGTAAAACATTTTGTGATTTCAATAAAATTAACTTTAATTTAAGAATATTTAATTTTTGAATAAACACACAAAATATTGACCTTCAATAATATTTTATCAAATCAATATTTGATGTGCATTTTAGGAAATAATATTTTGCCTGCTATATATAATATTATGTATAATAGAGGAAAAGTAAATTGATTGCAATTAAATCTAGGTACCGTTTTTATGCTGTCTGACAACATAGATTGGTAAATCCTATTAAAGGCGAATATAATAATACATCGCAAATACTCGTATAATAATAGTAATGCTCTTTATAATGCTCATGTTCGGTTATCTTATATATTAAGGTACTATATTTTCAGTTAAACTTTCATTCAAAAACCATGGGAAATAAATGAAAAATTCTGATACTGTTATAGGAGAGAAGTTGAAAAGGTAGGATATATTACTATATATTATTAGGATATATATATATATTAGGTAATTATTTAATTTATACTTGTACGCAACGATAAACCAATGAGGTAATTTTAACGATTTCATTTTATTCACATTTAACCGAACAAAAACTAAGCCAACTCAAAAATGTCAAATGTCTATTAAAAACTCAAAAATCACAAGAATGTTTTGAAAATTAGTATTCTGTGAACATTTTAGATGAATCCAAAAAAAAAATCTACATTAATGTAATAATTTTTTTAAAAGGTTTTTTCCCGAGACAAAGTATCAAAAAAAGTACAAGAAAATTAAAAAAATGATCTATTCAATGCACAAACAAAATCCAAAATACTACAAAAAAAATCTTTGAAAGATCATTCATTGTTTTTTGATTGAAGCAAAATTTCCGAAGGAAAAATTATACATTATCACAAAACAAAAATAAACTAAAAAAAAAAAAAATCACTGACATAGTAAAGATAATATATTCTTCGATGGTTCGGAATCTAAAATCAAATATTTTAGTGGTGACATATCGGCTCGGGGAAAATTTGACTCTACATATAATGATGAAACTCTGCTACGAGTGTTTTTTTAATATCTATAATTTAGTGTCGTTAAAATATAACGCAATGGGTTTTTTTATAATATTATTCTCTCACATATATAATACGTAATAATATTATTTCCAAAGACAATTTTATGTTTAAACTGCCTCTTCTCTTAAAAAAAAAAAATAATAGAAAAAAAAACAATAATAATAATACTATAACCACCATTTTACGTATTTAATCATAATATTTCATTTTAAAAACCGGGAAGACTGTTTTTGTTTTTATTGCCATACAGGTAAATTATACGAGCACAATTACAGTAGCAGTCAGCGGTGTAAAGGTTCAAGTGAATTTCAAAGAAGTAATTTTCTGGAGTTAAAACACATACTACAACGGCAGCATCAGCGGCGATGAGAGTTTTTCGGCGATTTTTCTGGTTTTTAATTTTAACTCGACTATAAACGGTGTTTGATGAAAATATAAAATACCATCATTTGTTTGAGCTGTATCAAAAAAAAAAAAAAAAACAATGGTGAGAAATAGTGTATTTTTTTTTTTTTTTCATTAACCTCGATAAATTTTGTTAAAATATTATAAGTATTATATTTATTTTATTCGTCTTATTAATATATTATAATATGGAATTTTATTGCAGATAATACGTCAAAATTTAGTAATCAATATTACACGACGCGGTTAATTTGAAAATATGAGCCATTACAAATCATTATTAAAATTACTATACCACGGATAAAGGATAGTATCAGTATAATAATTACATTACCATTATAATACTCGTAGATACGAGCAGTGATATAAACGTAAATTTAATTCAATTAATATTATTATGTTATTTTACTAAACAATACACCATCAAGTAAATAGACGTTGCAGTAGATTAGGTTGGTACTATCGTTATATAGACTTGTGTGCATCCCTTTTGAATATTAAGTTTGGAATACTAATAATATTGTAAGAAATATCCTAAAATATAATACGAGCAAAAATTATATGTATGCATGTTTTATGAACCATAATATATAATATATTTGTACTTTTTACAACTAAACCCAGCCATGGGATTTTTTCCAAAAATTGGTGTTTCGGGATTTTTGGCACAACTGATCATTGGTTCGGGTCTCTTTTGGGGGAAGAAATTTGTTTGAGTGCATACACAGATTGCCAAAATGATGAGCCTTTTTGTACCGTCGGCAACTTTCGGATGATCGCCATGCAGCAACATTAATGATATCTATGGTGATGACTCGGTTTCTACAATAGGCGCCTATAATACTCGTAGTGTTTTCACTCTGTTTAAATAATTGTCTGGGAACCCCAATAGTCCTTAAGTCTGTTATCAGTGGTCAACGGTTCGAATGATTTTGTCCGATATTTTATTTTACTTAATAAATAAGAAAAATAAATTAAATTTAACATGAGCAGCAAGGATGTTTAAGTTTGTTCATAATCAAAAATAACCAGAGGAATCGGTTAAGACACAATAGTGACGACGTGGGTATAGCTCTAGGAAACTTCTGTTGCTCAGAGCTATTCATTCTAGAATTTCAAACTTGTAAGAAAAAACCAAGCTCTAAAATTACATTTCGTTATCATAAATTTCGATAAAAAATAATTAGTATTATAGTAAATCGTTGAATGGCAATAAGGTTATAAAGGCAATGGTTATAATTCAAAACATAATAAAATTATCCCTTAAATCAAGGTTGTCTGCGATCTGATGAAAGTTCTCTAAGTGATGTGTACAATAAAAAAGATTGGGAAACACGGGTTTGAATAATATAAGATAGCCTGGGCAGCACCTTAATAACTAAAAAAATACTGGGGCGTTAAAAGCACCCACGTGGTGTTTATACAATACGTGTTGGTTATTAACAAAACAGTAAACGATAATATCTTTTTATGGTTTTTCAGTACGTGAACTGTATAAAGTTGACTTGCACTCAGGGTTACCGCACATACCTTGTTTCAAAGTATCATATTATTATTTTTTTGTTCTTTATACTTTAAGTTTTCAATATACTGAAATAATTTATTTTTATAATATTGAAAAATAACAGTGAAGTTAACCGATTCTAAATTCAAAAAAGGACGGGAAAAGGTCGTACTTCGCACGTGAATGCAGCCATTGTTGTAGGTTGAAAGTTGGGAAGGTAGGCTACAGACGGGAATTTAATCTATAACTGTAAGCAACGATAAACCATTGCTAACGAAAAAAACGATTCTGAGCCGAGTTCAGTTGATAATGTTGCTTTATCAACAATACAATATATGGTATTATGTAATATTATGGTAAAATGATTAAAACAATGTGTGTTTCCATAATAGCAACGATTGTTTGAAAAAGATTAAAATAATAACAAAAAATAAGTAAAACCTGTTACCAATGACATCTTTATTTTTAATCTTTCAATCTTTTCTAACCTAACGCCCAAGGTTTTCCTTATTATCTTGAATTTTAATGAACATTTCAAAAAGTCAACTCTTTAAATTACCAACCAGAGAAAATTTTCTTTCAGAAAAGGTGCTATACTTGATAAATGGGGTATGCTCTCTATGCTCTCCAGTAGAAAATAAACATCATTGTATTACTAATACTTTTCTCATTCCACACAGAACCAAAAAAATTAAAAACTTAAAAAACCCAAGATAATTCAATAAAAAAAATGAATCATAAATTCATAATTATAATTTTTCAGATACTAAAGAAGTTTTTTGTTTAAAAAATGAGGTGACAAGAATAAGTTTTAATTAAAAATACACCAAATTGCTGATATTGGGGATGGTAACGGCCACTGTTTTAGGTAAGAAGTTGGGAAAGTAAAATACATAAGGTTATTTCATTTATATCTGTAAGCAACGATAATCATTGCTTAACGAAATACGATTTCGTAATTTTGTAATTAAATAATTTTTTCTGGTAGAAAACGTCATCCATGTTTTTATAAAATAATGAAATCATTAAATTGTACGTTTTCCTACGTTCATTCCCACGTAAATGCTTTTATTTGAAAAATGGCATCGAAAATCCCAAAACAAACTCTTTAATTACCATCTAGACAACTTGAAGTTTTAGAAAAGTTGCGATACGCAAAAATCGAAACAAGTTTACTAAGAGAACACGTGTCCACAGACTAGAACAAAGATAAAACCAATAGCTCCTTCGCTACGCTCGTAATCTAAAATCCAATAGTTACTTTAATATTTTGAAAACAAAATAGTGGCAACTCTGCTTAAACTAGCCATAACCAATACGACAATCTATAGTTGTGACATCGGACCCAAGAATAATTATAAATACATTTTCCATCGACATTGATAAAAATAAAATAGCAAGAAATACAGAAATAATATTATTATTTTACCGTAAATAGAATTCCTCCTATACTATGTTATACTGAAACGATTACTTTAGAATCTTTTTATTTTGTATGAAAATATTTTGTTAACCTTCCTGAAGAAATTATAATTATAAAACTGTTATTTAATACGGATGAACAATCTGCTGGAATTTTTTTTCTCCTTGTTAAGAAAAATACGCTCAAGATAAAAGTAAATAGTTACATAATTTCAAAAAAAAAAATACAGTCAGTAATAAGATAAAACTATATACTTATAAATACCATAAATATGATTATGTTATCTTATGATTTTATTTATAAAATAACATATTATAATTAAATTATTTTAAGTAGATACCTAACGTACCAACGGATATATTAAACTGACAGTGACTCAATTTATTCATATAATTTCAAATATTATTAAGTTAATTATTGTATTTAATGTTATAGTTACTGTTTTTGATAAACGTGAAATTAATTTCACATTTTATCTTCTATTTTTTTTTCCAATCTAATTTAATAGTAGGTACCTAATATTTACCCTGAACGTAAAATATATATTTCACAGTCCAATAATCTGATATAAGGGGAACTTTGTATCATACTATTGTATATAACATTTTAAGCTTTATTCATATAATCTGTAGGTACAATTTTAATAAAATAATATTAGTGATCAAATCACACGATGCCACACTATAAAATTATATAATTTACATGATTATGTTAACATATTTCTTCGTTATTTAAAATAAAACATTATAATTCGGTACTTTCGTCTGTCAAATTGACGGTATAATACTAGAAAAAATGAAAAGATGTCTGTGGTAGTAATAGAATAAGGTAGTAAGGTAGTTAAGTAGTAAGGTTTCGAATACATTTATCAGCGACGGTATAAAATTGAGGCGTGGAAATGTCTCAATAATATACGTCGGCGAGATGAAGTAATTAACCTAAGATAGATTGATTTAAAGACCAGAATTCTGTAGTATCGTTGTTGATGATGGCGTTGGACAGCTTTATCCGACCACAAAATTTAGTATACCTCTCAGTACGAAATTAATCTCAAGACTGAGGTATATAAATTGCATATATACATATATAGATATATAAGTCTCGTTGAATGGGGAAGGGTCTCTGTATAGTATTATGTAAATTTGAGTTGAGACACATAATAATTATAATAATTTTTATAATAAATTACGTTTTTAGACGGAAAAGTTATTCATTTAGTTTTCATATATAACTTTATACAGTTCTATCTTTGACTGCGATACGATCGGACTTGATTGTTTTAGATTACGAGCGTAGCAAGGGAGCTAATAGTTTTACCCTGGAAAAAAATACGATATTTTCACGATTTCGTTATTTTAAATAAGTACCCACCTGGTTTTTTAGCATAAATATGGCTCCGATTGAAAAACGATTAGAGACCTTTTTTTGTTGAATTATTAATCTTGTTTTTAATGATGCAATTCGTTTTTGGTTTTCAAGTGAATTTTTATAATAATCGGGAAAAAACGTAGGGAGGTTAGGTTAAAAAAAATTTCGGCACTTCAAACTATGTATTACCGAGGTATGCTCGGAATCGTCTTTCGTCAGCAATGGTTTATAGTTGCTTACAGATATAAATTAAATAAATGGATGTAACCTACCTTCCCCACTACACACCTATAATAGGGGCAGCACTTATCCGCAGTATCAGCTCTTTTTTTTATTGTAATAGATATGGACGTCTTTGAGAAAACATGACGTGATTAACGGCGGGGCTTTACGCAAATAATTATTTTGGAACCAATCTAATAGTTTATTTAGATATATAATTTTGGAATTTTAGCATTACGCGTAGTTCGATTTTACTCAAGATTTGCACGATAGTGAGCACTTATACAGTTATACATATAATATAATACAATACTGTAACTCTGTCGACGGTAAAAGTTTCCAGAAGTGTTTCTGAACTTCCTCTGGCAGACATGTTAACAATAATTAAGAAAGAGATGAGATATATATGTACAAATATATATACACTGCTATATAGGTAACGAAACAACTCCTCCGGTTGTCACACACGATGCATATTATCCGAATGTCATTTAGACTAGAACTTAACAAACGTTCGTTTGTCAGAGTACCAAACAAAGTCTGATGAAATATCGTAATGTCAATATATTTTTAGAACAAGTATGCATACAATAAAGTTTTTGGATATAGTTCCTTGTTCGTCTTTTGTAACGATGAAACGCACAAAGATATCTTGTTTTTTTTTTCTGACACTTAAAAGCATATAATATTATGAATGTAAAAAATTTATATTGGAAAAATGTGTAGGTTTAGAATTATTCGGTAAAGTTGAAAATTACCTATACGCTATTAAGTGTAATTTACCTATGCAGATGAGAAGTTATCGAAAAGTAAGTAATTAGAATCATTTAGGTATTTGTTAAGATTATTTTGTGTGTTTTTACGAGATTGTTCATCCAACCAAAAAACTTTAAAACTTGGCTAAGACTATAGGTAGTAGGTACATTATTATTATTATTATTATTTTTTTTTTTTTTTTTTTTTTGAAGGTTTAATTGCTTAAAATTCTATAGCATGTAACATTTTATAATTATATAATAAGTGTTTTAATGTTTAAATTTTAATCAATATCGTTAATAAAATCACGAAACATTAATATATGTTTACCAAACTTCACTCAGAATCGTTTCACATTAGTCATGATTTATAAGTGCATACAGATAAAAATTAAACTATATTCTATGAAACCTACCTTCACAGCTTCCCATTTAAAACACTAGCACATCCGTCAACAGTATTTTCTCTTTTTAAATTCTGAGTGGAGCAAGGAATGTAATGGTTTTACAATGATAGTACTTTTTCTGAAAGGAAATCTAGCTGAGGTGGTACTTTAAGGAGGCCACTTTTTGATTTTCCCAGAGTTTTTCTCAATAAATTGGAAAAATTGGAAAAATCGGAAAAATTAGCAGGGAAAATAGATACGATATTAAACAAATATTATTAAAGAAAATATATAAACCATATTATGTAATTATCTTACCATTATGTCACATATTTATTGCTGATAAAGCAACACTGTTGACTGAACTCTGCTCAGAATCGTTTTTTGTCAGCAATGGTTAATTTTTGCGTACAAATATACATTAGATTTTCCCTTTACTTTTCCAACTTCTCATCTACAACAGTGGTCCACCCACGTGCAAAGTATGTCTGTCTTTTTTTTAAATATAATTAGTGTGTTGCATTAACATCTATAACTCTATAGATAATAAATGATGACAAGAATTTTTGCATCTTGGCAAACAATATTATCCATTAGATGTGTAGACGTGACGCCATTGTTTTAGAAGAAATTTCAAAATTAAACTGATATTAATAACCGGATGAAAATCCTCAAATGATTTGTATCATACAAAAGTCTAGACAGGAATTTACTTAAGCAAGTATATCTATGCCAAATAATTAAAAGTGGCTTTTATTATTATAATTATTTAAAATATTTATAACATCAATAATAGGAGAGTATACGAGAATGAACGTTAGATATTTTAATATATTTTAGTTATTTTAGATATTTTAGTAGGATACTTTTATATCGTTTCGTAAAAATAACAGAAACTTCTCTAATAAATTGTACTTATACAATACCGTTTGATACCAATAGAAATCAGCATAAATAGGGAGGCTAGCGGGTATTATACACAATAAACTTAAAATCATGACTAAGTGATAAATATGTTGGCGGACACTGGAGGGGACACTATCTACCCCTGGATACATTAGCGATCTTAAGTCTTTTAATCTAGAAATTCTAGTTGTTCTAGTTGTGTCTACAATAATTGGTTCTGGCTTATGATAAGCTAATAAACAAAGAATAGGAAAATAGGTAGCAAAAAGACTGAATAATTTTGAAATAAATATGAACAAAATATTTCTTTACGATTTAAATAATCTGTTAGTTTGTAATAAATTAATAAATAATATTACTAATTGTACTAATATTTAACGGTGAAAGTACACCTACTTTAGGACATATTATTTGTTCAATCCGACTGTTGTTTAAAAAGTCAAGTTAAAAATTGTAATATTTTTTTTTACATTTTGTACACATTTTGTTCGTATAGCTGACGAATAAAAGACGGGATAATCCTCAACGACCTATAAAAACTATGAATATCTATATAAAGTCTATATTAATATTAAATTATATAGGCCGAATGTCATAATTTTTTTTATTTATTTTTTTTTTAATATTGTTTTTGCATTTGAAAAAAAAAATATCCATCTAATAACACGAATACGTTTATTATATGTACCTACTAAATTACTGGGTAAAATAGCAGTAAAAAAACAACAATTCATGATAAAACATATTGCTCTGTTTAAATCACTTTAATCACACAGAGCACACACTGCGTGTCATACTTTTTTTTTAACTTTTTTTTAAAAAAAACCTGTTATTATAATAATATTATACGTTCGAAAAATTTGCTTATATCCATTCAAGTTCTCTATTAATTTTCCCAAACGACATATGAAACCACAAAAAAAAACAAAAATAAAAACTATCCATCAAGTGTATAACTGGATTAGTATTGTTAAATTTTAAGTATACTATAATACCTTCGTCCAGAAATCTATGAAATTAATTTAACAATGCTTACGAGAAACGTACTGTTAAAATAATACAGTTAAAGAAAATATAAAGTTCATAGGTAGAATTTATACAGTTATTTAATTTATACTTGTAACTAACGAAAAACGATTCGGGGCAAAGTTCGATTATACATGTCTTGAAAGACCATAATATTTACGATTTTTGTCAAAATTTGATATTGAAATTCTTGTAAAAAAAAAAAATACAACTGAATAATAATTTTTTTTTTTACTAAAAAATACGACTTATAATGAACTGACTGTTCAATTTTCATGTATTTCAGTTAAGTCTAATAATTTTCCGAGTTTTATATATTAATACTTATGATATCCTGTAATATCTGGCTCCCTGGCGTTGATAATAATTTTATCTACTGAATAATAATTTATCAACCGAATAAAAATTACGTAAAATAATCACAAAATTAAATTATCTATAAATAAGTCAAAAATGGCTCAAATATTTTGAAAATTTTACCACGCCTAGAAAATACCAAGTATAAGTTCCCTGTCAAAATTGTAATTCTCTACGAATATTTTTAACTGAATTACATAAAAAAAAACAAAATTTTAAATAATAAAATAATTATTATTTTCGTACATTTCCCTGTACTTTCTACATATTTTTCGGTTTTATTCAATTATTGATTAATGGTAATGGAACTGAATGGCCCATAAAAAACTAAAAGAGGAAAAAAATAATTTCTAATTCATATCTTGTATAATCACTCATATCAATCATATCATTTCATTTTTAGGGGAATTATACATATACCCTTAGAATTCAATATCTGGCGTTTTCTCTGTAAAGTTACACAATTTTGCTGTGCTGGTCATTAGTTGGATAGTTATAGTAAATGCAGATATCATATAAGTACTCATAACAAAAAAAAAAAAAGTATAAAAATATGGAATTAAAAATTGTGGTTTTGTCTTATCTGCAAGTACGATAACGTCGCATTTAAGAACAAAACTTAAAAAAATTAATGTTCAATATGTGTAAATAATGAACCTTTTGTGCAGGTATACCTACGTATGAATTTGACGTCCTGGAAAATTAAATTTAGGCAAATACGTAAAAAAAAAAAACGAAAACATGTACCTATACTCATAAATCAATTCTAATTGATCCTATGACCGAAATATTTTGAACAAGCGAAGTATAAATAATATTCGTTAGGATACGTTTTAGGTACAACTGTGTATAATAGTAATGTGTCTAACTATTGTGATATTCTACGACTTGATTGTTTAACCTTAACTACAATATCTCGTACACGATCTATAACTAAGACTAGTCGTGCGGATTTTTATTTTATTTTTTTTGAAATCATCATTAAAATAAAATAAAAACCTAATTGGTATATTTTTTAAACGAATCACGTAGGTAGTTTTAAATGTACTTTAGTAAGTAACTATTATACAGATATATAAAATAGAAAGTTAAATACGATTAGAATAATAATAAAAAAAAAAAAAAAAGGCGGAAAAAAAGTAATACATATTGCGCGTATGCTGATTAAGTTAGATAACCGATAAGTATATTATAATAAAATTGCAGCATTACGGTCTCGTTGATACTCCAAAAAGACGTATATAGCCATCATAATATATAGGTTAGGTTAGTCTTGATATTGTGATCTGTATCGCGACTATTTCAAAAATGTTGGTAAAACTCGTATTTTGCGGTTATTTTAGGAAGCGGGGGAGAAGCTTGGGTTTCTTTTATTGAAAAGAAAAAAAAGAATAAAACTCCATTATAAATCTACATTTTGAAAGTAAAGTTGTAAATAAAATATCAAACCTATACAGGATACGATGTATAATATAAAATACAATACCAAGAGGCATATATTATATATTTTATTATATTTTGTTTCGCCAAAATGTGTAAACTTTTTAAAGCTCATATAGATCAAAAATGTTATATATTATAATACATTTTTATGAGTCTGCATTTCGTCTCTTCTTATTACTTGGTGCGATAAAATGGACTTTTGCAATTATTATTATTATTATTATTATTATTATTATTATTGTGTGTTTCTGTAGCGCGGCGAACGATATTACAAAACACGGACGGGAAAAGAAAGTTGTATTATGGAAATCAGCGTAGGTATTCTAATTTTTAGAATAATATGTCACTTTTGTTTAAATCCACCACGGTTCTTGTTTAATGGCGATTATTATTATATTGCTTTTAATCAAGTAACTGTGTCTAACTATTAATTATATTCCTTATTATTAAGGCCATTGTTTTCAGTGAGAATTTGGGATGGCACTGGTTATAGGGTAAGTTAGTTTATGTAAATATTATGTATACCGAAACTACTGATATGCATATGAAGTTATAGAATTGATCATATGCCCCCCTTGTAATCCAGGAAATACAGAAATCGAATAAAACTCAATTTGTCGACAATCTCAGTGTATATGTTTTAGATTCGGAGTCTAGCGATGGAACTATTTTACTATGATGAATGTTTTTTTTTTTTCTAAAAAACTTTTCTACCAGAAATCTTGCTCCCGTCTATCACCTTTTCTAAAAGAAAATTTTCTGTAATTGGTCATTTTACGATTTTCCAAAAGGGTTTTCAAAATAATTAGAAAAATCGGAAAAAAAAAATTTCCGTTAAACGAGGCGTTACCGATTTACGTTTTTTTTTAATTTACAAACTTTCTTTTCTATCAGTGATATTAAAATATTGCTTCAATCAAAAAAAACCATTTATAAAGATTCTGAGTGTAGCGAAGAATATAACAGTTTTACTCAGATGATAATAAAGATAATCTTTTCTCTTTTTTACTTTTTTATAGTATATACGAAAATTCTACCAAAAATCTTGCTCCAATATGTACGCATGGCACAATTTCTGAAAGGAAATATTGTCTAGATGATACTTTTGATTTTCAAAGGTGTTTTCATAATGTCTGGGTTTGATGATTACAAGTCTTACTTAGTGGTTAAAAAAAAAAAAAAAAATGAATGTACATTACATTAATTTTTTTTTTTTTATAAGGGTTTTAAATTTTGTTTGAATTTAAAGTATTACGAAAATCGTCAATACTACAGCCTTTTAAAGCATATACAAGTAAACTTTGCTTGGAATTATATTTGTTTTTTTTTTTAATAATTTAAGTTGAAAATCTTAGTGAGATGTTCAAATAAAGTACAATGGAGCAAAACATGAGCGTTTTTATTAAACCCAGAGGATATTTTCCGAGAAAAATACGTGTTTCTAAGTAAAACTGAAAATTATTAAGCTTTCTTCCCAGAATCTAAAATATATTAAAAAATTGGTTTTCATTTTTATTTTATTTATACTAAAATAGGTTTTAAACGAAATATTTAGTAAATATATCATGTTATAATATATTAATTAATAATTATCTATGAAATATATTAAACAAATCTAATGACTGTCGTATTTAATCGAATTAAAAAAAATAATTGTTCCGCTACACAGTTTCAAACACAAAAACTGTTTTCGGCAACGCTGTCCGGTCACACATTAACATATACATATTAACTGCACACAAGATGAAATCGAGGTTTATCATTCTCGCATTAATATCGGATTGAAAATTTGGACAAGAAGTTATCCTTGCTACCCATCATACAGGACGAAGAGGAACGCACAGTTAGTTGGCACATAAGTTGGAGTGCGAAACAGGCGGGCGTAGTGAGACGTCCCCCGCACTCGAAAGATTTGAATAGGTAAAGAAATTATGCTTACTGTTATCATTTATCATTATCGCTGTTTGGCCTCATTATTTTTAGAGAATTGATCCCCAATCCTAATAAACTACGGACTAATATATAATGAATTGTATCTTATATATGGTAAAATATAATATAATAATAATGATATAGAATTTAAATTGCACGTATCGATAGGTTAATTAATCGCGTCAAATTGACGTACACACAGGAAACATTTACTGACCACCACCCCGCCACGTACCTATACCATGTCACGAGTCGTGGCCATTATCCTGCAGTTATAAGGTATATAACGATTTGATATTTCCAGAGAGGTTATTGTGACAGTGCAAAATTATTATTATTCGGATAAGATTAAATGTTCACTATAAGCGATTATCTACTTATAGAGAGTAGATATCAACTTATAATGTAATGTGAGTATTAAATATGATGTAACTATTCGATGTTGAATGTATAAAAAAACCTTCAAATTTGAGTACTATGTTATTTTCGAGTAAATTTGATTTTGGCATTTTTTTTTTTTTTCAAAAATTACATTATGGAATCATCGTTCAATTTACAATATTTTCGAAATTTCACTCTTATTCCACGAAAAAAGTTAATAGAAACTAAAATGGTGTGATTTAGATTTTAGAGCACAAGTGTGCAAATCGAAACACTTATATGTTGTAAAAAATTGTATTAATATGAAAGAGCACTTAAATAAAGAACAATACTATATAGCGTCGAAAATACGCCTCTGGCTATAAAGTATTTGGGAAAAAAATGATATTTACTATACTATACCGATACTGTTTGTTGTATGGATTTCGTAATGTGTATATACAACTTAAATCAACCACATACCTGGAAAAAAAAAGTAATTATTATTATAGGTGTACATTTTACAACATTAAAATACATAAAATAAAATATGACAATATTTATAAATGATTTATTTAGTGTAATTATAATAATTCTGTGTGCGTGTGTGTGTATATATATATCTGTGCACCGGGGTATGATATTCGAAGTTTATAGAAACTTTCCCCAAATTATTAAAATACAACTGCGTGGATTCAAAAATCCAAAATTCGTATTACATTATTTATAAGCATACAAATTATTCTGAGTTTTTATTTTGTGTTTACAATACACATAAATGAAATTCATAGAGTATTTTTTTATGAGTTTCAGAATAATGCAATTTTATACAATTCCCCTCTCCCATTGACCCCTTCCACATTTTTAGGTCTAACAGAATTTTTCTAAATTTTTAACTCATCACAAACATAAGGTACACTATATTATTATTATTAGACGAGATAAGTCTACTTCGGAAAATTCGCCATTTTAATATTATCAGCTGTTTTGACTTTAATGATTTTCAGCATAGTAATAATATGTGACCGCCCAAGACATGACAAGTACTTGCAAAACGTACGTAACGTATTATTGCTCAAATTTGAGTTATTGGACGTGCAGACCTTATAAAAGAAAATAACAATTTAAAATAATATACAAAATAATTTTAGTGAACTTGTAATCATGTTCGTTCTAAATTCATTCAGATCGTTAAATGACAAAATCGATTAGTGTCCAAAATATATAAGCGAGAAAAGTAACTTTTATTAAGCTTAGTTATTTTAATTTTTGAATGATAACTAAAATTAAACAATTAAAAAAAAATGATCAACTTGCCCACAGCTTTGTAGAAAAAAAGATTTTTAAATCTGTTAAAAATATATTACACTTTACTTGAATTTCTAAATAATATTATTCACGTCTTAAAATATTGCACTATTGTATTATTTAATTATTATTAAATTATTCGTATTATGATGAAAGCCATTGTGCAGTCGAAGAACAAGACGTCAAGTAGAATCAAAATATTTCATAAATCTGAATAATATTTACTGTTAGTTATATTCGTGATGTTGCATATATTATTATATTATTACAATATGTTTTCTTAACAGATATATTAAAGTATCAAAGCCAAAGAAATAATTTATTTGAATAAATGTATAGTAATAAACACGTAATTATAAATAACAAAGCATTACATAGTCGATTTAAAAAAAAAGGTGATCATGAATGATAGTATAGTCAATCAATTAGATATTTGATAGAATTGATAAACTATTATAAGATATTGATAACAATGATAACACTAATATAATTATTATTTTTGGTCTATTTCGTAAATAATCAGTGACATAATCACGGGGGAATCAGGGTGTTCAATCCCCAACCTTGGCCTTTTTTCCAGTACTTCTATTAGTTCTATGAACTTTTTAAAAATAAAAGAGCTGATACTGGGGACGGGAGCAGCCACTGTTGTAGGTAGAAAGTTGATAAGGTAGGATACATATATACATTAATTTATATCTGTAAGCAACGATAAACCATTGCTGACGAAAAACGATTCAGAGTGCAGTTCAATAATACATAATTTAAAGTGCCATAATTTTTTTAGTAATTTTCGTTTAAATTTGATTTTAAAACACTTATATACGAAAAAAAAAAAAGTCGTCCGATGATTTTTAAAATTGTACCACGCCTAGATAAGTCCAATATAACTATTATTGCCAAGTTTCAAGTTACTAAGTGTATTTATAATCGAATTACAGCAAAAAAAACTTCCAAAAGTTAAAACTCAATTAAAGCTCAAAAGTTTTGGCAATGATACCATAAGAAAATAAATTAAAAAGGCAAAAAAAAAAAAGGTATTTTGTGATTTTTCGATTAAATCATTTTTCTGGTAGAAAACGTCATCCGTGTTTTTATAAAATAATAAAATCGTGAAATAGTAAGTTTTCCTATGTCATATCCCACGTAAGTGGTTTTATTTAAAAAAATGGCATCGAAAATCTAAAAATAACCTTTTTAAAGTATTATCTATACAACTTAATTTTAGAAAAGTTGCTACACGTACAAATCGGAGCAAGTTTGCTAGGAATAAACGTATCCACAGACTAGAACAAAGAACAAAACAAAAAATTAAACCGCATTGTAAAACCAATAGCTCCCTCGCTACGCTTAGAATCTAAAACTCTAATTAATTTGACTTTTGATAATTTTTGTTATTTTGTATACAACAACCTTAATTTATACTTTTTTTTTTTCGAAAACAGTACGACTGTCAAAACTTTTATTATCAGTTCACATGTTTATTCTGTAGCTATTACTCAGTTTCACAGAACCACAGTTATATCTCAGAATAGGTTAAAAGAACAACCAAGAAGCAAACTATAACTGCGAGAATCCATATAATGATGAAAAAGAAAAATATTTTAGTGTTAAACTGTTAAAAAATATTTTAGGATAACTATTTTCATTCCATATATATATATATAGACTTTCATATACGTGTTAAAGGAACGTTTTCTGTCATCTATCTATTGTTGAAAGTATTTAATTCTTTAATCTTAATGTTTCTAAAATGTTTACTGATTTAAAAATAATTAATATTTAGGTTTTGAGTGATTGTTTTCTAACAATTTACCTATCACTGAAGATGAAGTCGACACATTTACAGATCTAGTTAAATTGTATTCCCCTTATGTGTCAAAAGAATTTCAAAAAAAAAAAAAAAATCAAAATGTAATCACCTCATTGAACCGATGAAATAACATTTTTACTAGAAACAATCACCTCTAAAATTAGTTATAGGACCACGATACTTGGTAGAAAAGTTGTTCTCCTCATACAGAAGAAAATTAAACAAAATTAAATAATTTAACAAATAATTATAGTACAAAAATAAATTATAATCTAAAATTAATATTAACTATTATGTAAGCAAAAAGTTAGCCTGCAGTAGTGGATTATTGGTTGTTTTCATAATTTATTATAATTACTGAATAATGTTTAAAAATTGGTATGGAGATGTGGGGCAAAGCCCCCCACGGATTGGGTTACTCAATAATTATAGAGGACGCTATTTTTTTATTATTTGTTTGATAAGTTTTATAGTCCTTTTTTTTATTTTTCCAATTCGAGCGCTGGCTGTTAAACCGATACCTTATTTTCTCGTTCTGACCACCCGGGGAATTCAAAAATAATCTGTATGATTATAAAATAACGAGATGTAATTTGGCGATAATCGCAGACACAAAACGATATTAAAATAATATATCAGCGTCTTTGCAATGATAGCAGAACTGCCGTAGGAAAAACATTGTTATTAAACCGATACACTGCCACACCCTATAAAATAATGTCAGGTACATATATATACATTATTTTTCACGGCTCGTATAAAGTCATCTCTTAATGGCCCTCTCGCCACATGCTGTCGCGGTATTTTGCGCAGCTATGCGACAATTGCACGCCTGCGCATTTCACAGCATTATACCTTTATACTAGCAACAACTATACCAAAGAAACATATTTTTAATATTAACATTGACGTCATCACACGGCAGTATAGTGATGGTCCCCAAGACACTGCCCAACACCGCCATCGTATAAGAAAAAAGAAAAATTACTATAATTTATTTGTTCGAACGAACCACGTGATTAAACCGTACGTTGGTCCAATAAGATTCTCAAAACCGCGCACATTGACAATACAGAGTGATCCGTTTAACACATTATGATCCACAGTGATGTAAAATGAATTATTTGAATTAAGATTGGGTTTTTGATTTTTTTTTTTTTTTTTTTTTTGTTTCAAGTATAAAACTGAACCTTTTCTTTTAAAGCTTTGTTTTGACACTATTTTAAAATGTTCACGCTTACTTCGCATACGCCCTATCATTGCGTATATACTACCTATACTTTGGATTACCCCATCCCCACCTTTTAAACACAGATTTGAAAAGAAAATATTTCTCTAAAAAGGTCGGTAATCATAACACTTGCGTATATTTGGATTTAACGTTTAAGTGGGTTTTAAGTTTATAACAGTTCATAATTTAGACCCGAGGCATAAGAAAGAGTCATCAATTTATTATTATCTGAAAATGTATGTAGTAATTCAAA